CTCTTCGATGGGCTTTGCCATCGCTGAGTGAATGTGTGTGAAAGGGTGAATGTGGCACGTAGTGGAAAAAGCGCTTTGAGTGGTCGGAAGACTAGAAAGGCGCTATACAAGTACAGGTCCATTTATATTTACCATGCCACCACAGAATGCTGTGGAATGTTTGTGGAGTTCTCTGTCCTGATTGGATAAAGTGGATAAATGATACCAGAAACTATATTCCCCGTTTACTGCAGAGAGGGACTGGGAGGCCAATTGTACCCAACTGAACACTCTCAGTATCAGTGATGGGTGTCACAATGTACAGCTATTGAACACTCATTTTAACTAAACAACATCACTTACAGTACCTTTTTCATAACTGCATTATCAGCAGTCACTGCCGAATGATAAGATTCTTCATATTTGACACAACACAACCTTATATTCAATATAGACTTTTTAATTAGATCTCATGCTTTAGTATTTATACATTACTGTTCACTACAGGGCAGTCGTGAAAATAGTTCTTCCATCATTTATGGACAATAGTACACTTGTCATTTCATCTGATTACACCCAGAGTCATAATAAATGACTCTAGATGCAACAAATCAATCTGATTATTTTAACATTTTATCCATAAAAATAGATGTTATATCAGAAGTCGTATTCTAGATGTAATTTATGTACAGTTAGGACACGAGCAGTCTAAGAGATAGAGTACCAGAACACTGGAAAGATGGCTTCATTGTCAGAATTATATCTTAAAGATTATAATAAAATGACAAATAGTCAAATAGATCTTTTTCACAGCGCCCCTTTTGGCATTAAATAGTAGGGTAAACACAGGTGTTACCAAAAATAATAATTAAGGTTGTGTACTACTTAGTGTAGCAGAGTCTCTCTAGTGAGCGGACATGCACGATTGTCTCTTCCTAAGTCCCGCCCCTTTTTGCTCTGTGCTCCAATAACAGTTGAGCAGGGCTCAGTCAGCGCCTCAGTCAACTTCCTCTTTTCCCGTAGGCTCGTCTATGTTGGAAAGACAACAGCATTTTGAAGATAGTTAAAAGATAAAATAACATATATATGCTAACTAGCTAGCTAATCTACATCAATTGTTTGCTAGTTAAAAACTAGCCAGCTAACTAGATACCGAACAATTGATGTAGATTAGCTATCAGTTGTTTTTGCTAACATTAGCTAGCTATCTAAAGATATATGTCACTAATTTAACCATCTTCAAAATTAAAGTGGCATATCACATAAATTAGCTGCTATTTGCAAAACGCTAGCTAACTCGCTAAATCAATTAGCTATGTTAGCAAAACAGAAGCTAATAAGCTAGCTAGCGTTTTTTTTTTAACATTACTTAGCTGTGACTATACTGTATATGTCACTGTTATAGAGCCTAGCATATAGCATATCTAAATGCAGGAAAGGAGGAAGGGGTGGGGCTTGGGGAGGGTCAACAGCAACTCCTTCACCTTCTCCTTCAATAGAACTAGACCTTAATTAGCATCATTGGTCACCTGTGTTTACCCTACTATTTCATGTCAAAATAGCCACTGTGAAAAAGGTCTATCCAGAGCTGCTCGTCCCCATCGCAGACAGCAGGTTTTAAAATGACAGTGACATTATAACAACTACAGCAACCCATATGCAGAGTGACTCCTTCCACTGGAGAGCAGATACTACGGTTGCATTGTGCTGTATTTGACAATATTCTGTATATTACAAAAGACACTGAGCTTATCCCAGAAAGAAATATGGTGAATGTGCATTATGTCTCAGTAACCTGGATTATATACCAATATAATCCAAGTCTTTCATTCAGGCTCCTCATGATCAGTATTTAAGCACTTATCCAAGTCAATATCATGTTCACTATCTGCTTCCTGCTGCCCAACAGAAACCAGCTGATTAATCCGCTTGAATAATTTAAATAAAGATTTGTTTGCAGTAGTGAGTGAGAGGATCTCTGGATCCTGAGGTGGATGCATTTCTCTTCTAGCAGACAGTAAGTCCGCTAACTTTCCACCCTCCTTTTGGTGAACACAACAAGGGAGGATGAAGCCTTCCCATGAATTTGGTTCAATCCTTTCTGCTGTAGAAATTAAACTTCTTGCACCGGTAGATCACTGCAGGCGGATGGTTAAATGTCTCCACGGGCTTCCTTCATGAAGATAAGCGACTCCTCTTCTGGGCTTTCCTCAGCAGGTAGACCAGACCCTGAGCAACAAATGGCCACAGCAGAAAGAGGAGGACGGTCTGACCTGACACGTCAAACGGCCACCACTTCTCCTCCTGGAAATCAAACATCTCATTATTTATCATAGAACACGTGGTCAGCTGTTACAATGCTCCAACAGCAGCTACAACCAGGGACAGACTACTTTACCGTGATGGAAGTACACCTTTTACCTGGTCATGAAGGCTGCATTTACCACCTGTCAAAATTCAGCACATCTGACAAATGATCCTTAACTTAAGGTCGACTTTCTAGCAGTTTCCTCAGCTTTCAACTGCGTCTAACAGCCAAAATGATTATCTGATGGAGATATGGAAACCGCTGTTCCCAAAGTCCAAAATGAACTTTTATGCTCATATTCACAGTTACTTTGAAGACATTATCATCAGTTTAGGACGTTCAGTACAAAGCCAACAGTTGTAATGTAAGTAGTGTCCTGAGATAACTTCTGTTATGAATTGGCGCTATACAAATAAAATTGAATTGAAACTCCTTTTCAGAGTATCTTACCTGTTGTTGTGAGGCTGCACACTGCAGACACGGTCTCCACTCTGAACTCTGGCTCTGTCACACAGGAAACAGCTGTGAGCCTTAGACCACTGAAGTCTAGCAATATTCAACATTGTTTGTCTTTGCGTCTTTTTTCTTCTTAGGTTGAGACAAACCAACAGTGACTGTATCCTACTATCATGTATCGTGTGTGTGTATCACATAACGTGCTCACATGTGTAGCGGCAAGCCTCTCCACTGCCTCCAGCCTGTCCATCACACTCCTCATGTCCTCTCTGAGCCTCCGTAGGGCCAGGATGATCTGCTGCTGTAGCTGGGCGTCATGCAGCCTCTCGACCCCGCCCTCTGAACCGTCCCCTCCTCCTCGACCGGCCCCACCTCCACCACCTGGGGTCCCCCGCCTCGGACTGCCCTGAGGTACACCACCTACAGACCATTATAGCTCTTTGAATGCAGCTACCTCTTCTGATGTATCAAACAAACAATGCATTCCGATATGTCCATGTTGGAGCAGCTTACGTTCTCTCCAGTTGTGGTAGGAACCTTCCCGTCCAGTGTCTCGGCCCCTTCTGCTGGGACCCTGACCCTTTCCATCCTCTGCACCCTCTCCACCCTGACCTGCTCCGACCTGCCTGACCTCCAGATGGCCTTCCAGCTGTTGGCTCTGATCCGGAGGGGACTCCAAGGACATGTGGCCATTATGAAAACCATTGGACTTGACAACTGGAATCTGCGAATAGAAGTCAATCTTTGAAACAGTCTTATTTACACATAATGAAACTTGCCATTTACACTCTTCATTCATTACTTTTAACCTCATGCTTCTGCTCTCTGATACTCTGCAGTGATCTTTATTAGCTCTGTATAGTGCTTCATCTCCCAGGATGCGAGTTGACTTGTACCTTGATGTTGCCAAGTTGCTCCACTGAATCCACAGAGTCACAGAAGATCTCGCTCTCCGAGTCGCTGGTCAACACCACACCCTCACACACACCAGAGTCTGCAGGAGAACAACAGGCACTTTGTAAGATAACGAGAGAGAGAGAGCTGTGAGCGGTTGAGCTCTATCCATTACGTACCATTAGCGATGGTGTTGGCAGTGAGGTCTATAACATCAGAGAGGTTGAACTCCTGATCAGGAACTGCACCCTCTGAAAGGAAAGAGTCTTCTTTAGGACCACCCTGCTCCTCATCCTCATCCTTTGTCTCCACAGGCTTGTTAGCATGCTCACTTCCTTTGAGACCTACAGTAATGGACAAAGCATGGACATACATCCACATTGTGAGAATCGTGATCAAAAAGTCAGGACAGGTCCATTCGTGTCCTGTAAAGCTGAGGTAAAATAGAAACTGTCAACACAGAGGGCAAACCATGGCCGTATTAAGAAGAACCTGACGCACTGTTGGGGGCGGGGCTCAGTTCATTCCTATGGAAACTGCTCAGTGGCGCATGGAGCCAGGTAAGTTCAACAAATTAGCCAGATCTTCCACATATGGTTCTGCGTTGCGTGGCCCATTGAGCAAGCACACTAGAGAGTTCCATCGTCCAAGAGGCTAACTCTGCTACCTTGAATGGAGATAAAACGATTTCATTTAATAATTTAAATGTTATCGGACCAAATGGATCAAATTCAGACAAGTGATTTTGCGGGGTGTTCCACTGTTAGATACAGCTTACAGCTACTTCTTTCACACTGTAAGCTTATGGGAAGCTGTTTGGTGCTCCGCAGGTAGTGCACAGTGGCTTTATCACAGCTTTCTCATTGAAAACAGCTGCCTGCTGCTCGAAACCAGTTCGCTAGCCAGAAAACACAAACAACAATGCTGGAATTCCACACAGAGCTGCAGAGCTGTGAGCCATTCAATCCACGGGTAATATTTAAGAAAATAAGAATAAATGCAGCTTTAAAAAACGAATTACTTGCTGTATTTACAGTTTTGAATGAAAGAATTGATCATTTGACTCTTTTCTGACTCTTTAATCTGAAAGTTTTACCACAGGGGCATTTATAAGAACAATAAGAACATGAGAACAATGCATGTTGTTTCTCCTGCATCCTTATCATATTTTCCAAACAAATACCAACATTACCTAATTAGCATTGAGTGACATTTTAGACTTGATGTCACACTGCTACGTATAAAATAATGTGAAGTGCATTATAAGCCGCTCAGGCTCCTTACAGACACCCAGTTTAAAAGCATTGGCTGACATGGCAGAACAGATCTCAGTGCAGCTCGGTTAGTGCTGGTTAGAGGCCGACCACCGGGATCACTGACCTTCTCTGAGCGTGAGCAGCGACTCTGGAGGCCACGGCATGTCATCTATGACCAGGTAGAGAGGCTCGAAGTGGTGGAAGAGCGAGGCCGTCTTCTCATTCATGGGCATGGTGTCGATGACCTGCAGAGTCAGTGGAAACCTTTATTGATCACTAGATTGTTACTTACCCATCCCTGTGTTCATCTGAGCAGGCAGCATTCTGCTGACACATGCTTTATTTACACTACACAATGTTACTGTGAACTGAGCTAAGTAACAAGTAAGAAACAGCTACAAAAGCTGAGGCTCTTCACATCAACATTAGTTATTCATTTAATGGGGACCATAATGAGTGAAATAAAACCCTCATGTACCTCTTGTGCAACCTTCTTCATCTCGTCCACGTATTCCTCCATGGCACTCACACTGCTCATCTGTCCCAGGCGGCTCCAGGCGTCCCTGAAGGACAATTGGTCAAAAAACATCAACCATTACTCAATAGTGTTGTCACGATACCAAAATTATTGTTTCGATACCGATACCAAGTCAAGAATTGCGATTTCGATACTTTTTCGATACTTTTCCTAAAAAGGGAGAAACACTCTCAAAT